TTTCCTCCTTGTGTTATAAGACAGAAATTGAGTGAATCGAAAATTCAAAGACGTCAGTAAATGTTAAGCTATTAGTAGTAACTGAACAACTGCAAACTCTGTACGGGGGGCTGAATTTTTTGGCATTTATCACCCATGTTCTTTTACGAAAATCATTCACTTTCACTTGGAACACTCGTTTAAAATCATTAGAATTTTTATTTTACCTTGTATTATACTTGTAAAGTCCATACAATACTAATAACAATTACCGATTAAGTAGACCGCCATCTTATTTTCAAATTTCAGATGTCGTTTAAGAATCCAAATTTATTTAAACTTTATTGGCCAATAAAATCTGATACAAAAGGCGGGCTCAATGTTATAGGCATTCTCTACCAGTCAACCTTTAGGATGTGCAGAGATAAATTGTATTACACTAAAATATAAGGCTCGATTTATGAAAAGGAATGTAAAAAGTAAATAAGTCATAACTCAAGAATTTCCTTTATGTCATTGTTTACTGTTGATTAAATAAGGAGATTCCAGAAACAAACCGGGGCGAAGTATTACGAATTACGTATACATTCGTACTTTACGGGAAATTTTACGTACCACCTGCGTTTACCTCTGATTAAATTTGTTTGTTTCGTAATATCTTACGTTTATTGCTTCGTTATGTTGATCTTCCAAGTTCCAAGGACTCGAAGATCTGTAAAAGTACTTATGATGTTGTAAATAAACATCTTTCAATTTTCCTTCACGAGGTACTTTTGCATCCCAATAAATGTTTCTTATAATTTTCGTGATTCTAAGAGATTGAATATCATCTTCATTTTCTCGTTAATTTTAATTGAAATTCATATTTAATTTTTTTTGTCATCATATTAGCCATTAACTGTCCACTGCTAAACATAGTCTAAAGGGGAGGCCCTTAGACTGCCATAACGAACGGTCCTCAACCACCTGCATTCACTGAATGCATTTGAGGTCATCGCTCCATCTAATGGGAGGAAGGGGGATTGGCCACTGCATTTGCCTGTACAGCGCCACTGGAACAGTTTTCTTCCCATCGATTGTCGATTCTTGGAGCTATGTGACCAGCTCATTACCACTTCAGTTTACTTATCTTTCGAGCTATGTCGGTCACTTTGATTCTTCTGCGGATTCTATCACACAAAAGAACAGCCCTCTCCAAAATTTGCTAAGCAATTTGAAACTTCTGCATACGGCCAACCATATAGAATCTTGTTTCGGTCTCGTAGATCGTCACTGGCAACACGGCCTTCAATTTGATTTGATTTGATGATTTTATGACCAGCCACCTGCTGACGTCAATCTTCCTTTCGAAAATCTTTGTAGAAGCTATTAATATAATGCATCTTTTTAGCTACATACTAGCAGTATGCAACTAGTAAAACATTTACATCTGCTTTCAGCTAGTGATTAGCTATTAGTTCTTTTCTTAGTAGTTCCTTATAATTCTTTTATGTTATTATAATATTGAAAAAAGGCTTATCAATTTTCTACGATCTCCTTCTGCGGTCCCTTTCAATATTCCGTTCGCGGAATTTAAATCTTCCCCAACCGCTTTGTTACATAGATACTTAGAAATGATACGTATCAGCAGTTTCAAGAAAAGTAACTTCAGAGAACGTTTTGTTTTTCACCATGAATGCTTTAAAATTAGATTTTGTTTTTTATATTTTATATATACATCATGTGCGTATTTAAGATTATTTTCAGGGTGAGCCGGACTCCTTTGAAAAAGGTGCAATATGTAGTCTTAGACATGTGTTTGCGAGTATTTAAAAGCTCCGCTCACATCTTGGGGTGGGCACCCCCTCTTTTCAATACGCCTATATATAGTTATACTAATAGCATAAGGTTGGAAGAAATCGCTATTTAGCGATAAGGCCACCCATTGTTGACTCTCTATCTTGCTTTTATGTATATTAGTGTTTTGCTCTTTTGAAAGCAAAGCAAGAAACTCAGTTGCGACCATTTTGTATTACTGTGGCACACTCACAAAATAAAAAAATATATTATTTTATGTTTTTCCCTTTTTTTGTATATGTATTATTTCTTTTTTTTTTCTATATCTATTGTTGTATGCTGTAAGTAATAGGAGAGAATTAAGTATCTAATTAAGTTTTTATGTAATTAAGTAAATATAGTTAATATTTATAATCTGTGTCATTTTTTGAAGGAAACAAGAGTTCATTCATTCACTCATAAGTTCATATTTTTTATTTACTTCTAATTAAAAGACAATTCTTTACTGTATTTTCTGTGTATGCCGGCGATAACTGAGGAACTTATTTTAATGATTAAAGAATAGAATAGAAATAAAAAAAAGAAAGATGTTAATCGTAAATAATTTTAATAAGCTTCTTGATGCTATTAAGAGACTACCGACTAAACTGTCTCTCAAAAAAAACGTTCATGCTTACTTTTTTACTTTACCCGAGCAGTAAGTACTTTATATTATTCTCAATTTTGTTTATAATATAGTATATGTCATATATGTGTAAGTATATTTGTTATTTATATATAGTTATTCGTTTAAGTATGTAATTTTAGTATGTATGTATATCAATAATTACTAGTACCACATTCGAGTATTCTGACACTTCTCTATGGTTGACTGGGAGAGAATGTTTTTAACATTAAATCCGCCATGTACCTACACATATTTGTACTAATGAATAAATAAATAACTTTTATTAATATCAAGAATCTTAAGTTGTTTAATATACATAATTACTGCGTACATTATTGGCTTAAATATAGCTATTATAAATTTATAATTTTGTCAAAACTCATTTCAGGTGCTATAATTCACGTAAGTACTTTGAAACTGTATCACCGGTGTGCAAAATACAGACGATTGGCGGCAACAAATATATTTTACTAGTACTTACCCGCGATTTCGTTCGCGCCATCGAGATATATTAGTTGACTGAGACAAAAAGTAGCCTATGTCCTTCTCTATCTCGAATACTATGTATATACCAAATTTTATGAGGATTAATTAAGCTGTTAAAGCGCTTAACGGTAATAGACTCTTTTAATAATTTCACAAAGAACAAAAATTTGTACAAGGAGTACGATCGATCGATAAATCATAGCCTATGGTGCCCCCTTATTAGGCTAACGCCTTCCTTAACTGCTTCCATATTGCATGATCGTGGGCCGAGTTGTACCAATCTTTTTTGGAAACGGTCGAGATCGTCCCTCTGGGGGAGAGGAGTGATTATTAATAACGAGGGATTAGCAGCAGAATATAGTGCCGCCCAAGATACCTCTCATGGGTTACTATTCCTGAGGACCTCTTTTCTCTCTTTTCCTCTGCAACCGCACTGTGCGTGATCATTCTGGTTCTAAGGTGTGAAGATGGATTTCCTGCTGAGTGTAGGAATCCATTATCTATGTCCTTAGTATATACTATTATATACTTAATATATAATTATATATTAAGTATATATATACTTAATATAAGATAATTCCTATATATACTTTTTTTTTCTTGTTCTACGACCTATGATCGTTTCGTCTAATCCATAAGGTCACGTAACGCCTTCAGCGTGTCGCATGTATCGCCCTAAGTAAATGTTACGCTAATGAGTCCTCGCTTTTGGAAACTTCGCAGAATTCGTAATATCTCCCGTTATTGTTGCTATCTGTAAACTCGGCAACTCCGCCTCGGTATTTTTATTGATACACCCGAATTTTTCACGTAAAATAAAAGTAAGCCAGGCGAAATTAAAAAATGTTCTTTTTCTGTTACATTTCATTGTAGTAAATACATATATGTAGATTCACGAATATAGACTTGTTGATGGTGGATAAATAAAAGGTTTTTTTTTTCTTAGCGGCAACAAAAAATTAATAGATAATTAAAAATAATACCTATTTTAATATACATTTATTTATTTATAATTTTGCACACATTAAATATGTCTACAGAGCGGACTTAATGCCTGATGGCTCTACCAGTCAACTGTTACACTAAACAGAGAGAGTAAATGGCGGTGCATTGGTATAGAAAAATCAATTTGTAAAAGAAAGAAATATTTTGACAGATAACAATATAATACAATTTAATATAAATGAACATATGTACATACACATATAATAATACAACATACAACTTACAAAAATTATAAATACATAAATCACAATACAATAGTTATATAAATAACTGTACATATTAATATAATAAATATATAAGTCATGGCTAATTATATAATAGTTATAGATTGAAGCTCTTCATACGAAAGAACTTCTGGTATAAAGAAAAATTTGGTAATAATAATAATAATTTATTTGCCAGGAACATATTTAGTATGTTTCGCCATATTTAATAGCATAGAATTTTAAATAGAAAGGGCTATGCTTGGCGTCTCTTTGCGTGATAGAATCCGAAACGAGGATATTCGCAAAAAAATCAAAATAACAGACATAACCCGAAGGATAAGCAAGCTGAAGTGTCAATGGGCTGGTCACATAGCTCGAAGAACCGACAACCGATGGGGAAGAAAGGTTCTTGAGTGGCGACCGCGTACGGGTAAACACAGTGTAGGACGACCCCCCACTAGATGGAGTGACAACCTGAAATGCGTTGCAGGAAGTCATTGGATGCAGGTGGCTCAGAACTGTTCTTTATGGCAGTCTATGGAGGAGGAGGAGGATATCCAGCAGTGGACAGACAATTGCTGAAATGATGATGAACATGAAATGTTTATATTATTTTGGTACTACCTATCTAGTGTATACTATGGACTATGGATCTGGTATATGTGTAATGAAGAAGTAGAAATATCTATTGATTTGAAAAGTAATTATGATTATCTGATAAATGATAAAATAAACGTGAGTTTGTAGTGCTTACGCACTTAAAAGGAATCTATAAAATAGGCTCCCAAATTCAATACTAATAATTTCTCTTATGTCTATATTATAGTAATAATATTTATGGTAGTTCCATCATTTATAATTTCATGTCTGGTTGCCCTCAGGTCGGTGACACCAGCAGTAACCGTGACGCTGCCGTCATGACGCTACACTGGTGGATGCACTGGTTCTGGGTCACGACGCTTCTCGTCTTACTTGGTAAGTCTTTTTTGTTGATTTTTAACTATTAATAGATTTTTATATACCATAATGGTGGCAAACAAGCATTCAGTTCATCAAATGGTAAACGGTCACAGTAATTTATAGATACATGTGACACCAAGGACAGTATAATAATACAAAAGTACAAGGTTTTGTTATAATAAAGAATAATTCATTAGATCAAGTTCTTAATGACAAAATTTAATAAATAACCATCCTTTATGGACCTCATGAGTCCATCGTCGCGGACCACGGAGGCGTTACCAACTGATTCTATAAGAATAAATAATTTATTATGCTGATACACAATGATTCATCGGCATTCGATTATTGGCTTGGTCGCAGTTTATTATAAATCATTTCATGTTCATACAATCTTTTTAACAAAATTATATATACCCCTTTTTTTTCACCCTCTACGGACACAAATCCCATTTTCCTGTTTATTAAACGCTGCAATATTTTGCTTTTTCCGTGTACTTTTCGACTAAGCGAAATTATTTGATTCAGAATCGTGACTTAGTAAACAAAAAACGCAATAAGGAAACGGTTAAGGTGAACGTGAATGGGTAGAGGTACATTTAAATAAGTATATATTCAGACTACGATTCAGAATTGGCTAATGTGTCACGTAGCAAAAATAAAACGAATTAACAATTTACTTTTTGATGTAGTTTAAAAATTTATACTTTTAAGATTGTAAGGTTAAATGTATAATAATTGTTAAAGTGTTCTAGATAAATAGATACTCTTTATTGGTTCATCCAAAAGATTACAATAGTAAACTTATTATGGATACTAACCCGCAAAGATTTTACAAAAGGTCAAACTGTTGCATTAAGCATTGAGTAATATCAAGGAAAAGCCTTTGACATTTCATTCTCTTGCACAGAGACGTAGACTTAACAATCACGAGCAGTCTCGACTATATAATAATCTTCTGCCTTGGTTGTAATTTGTAAACTATCCCAAACTATAATGTGGTCGCAAATTTGAAACCGACCGTCGCATGTATATTTATTACAAATATATTTTGCTCGATAAATTGAAAAACATAACTTGAACAAAAAATAAATTATTTTCAAAAGAATGTAGACTCGAGATGATGTAATCTAATTATTATATTAGATATCCCCATACTAGATGTATGGGACTATTTAGAAATTGTCCGAGCATTTAAAAGTTATGGTGGAGTAAAGAAACACACACACATACATGTGCCCTGAATACATTAGTATTTTTTGGGCAATCGTACACAAATTGAAATAGGACTCTTTTATACAATGTAAATAGGCATACAAACTAAAAATTACCACTTAGAAAATGATAACCGTCCTGTGTGGATTAAAAATACAGTCGAATTGACAACATATTCATCTCACAACTTGGTTAAATATCACATTTTTATGTTTTTATCCTTTTTTCATGTAATTTCCAACAAGCAACATTTCGAGACCTACCCCATTTCGAGAATGATTCACTCTTCACCTTCTACATATCGTGTACAATAGCGTCCACAGTGATTCTAAACAGATTGAGGAACTGATACGATGTTTGAACCATCATTCCCATTATATGAACATTTTCAATTGAATATTCAATGCAAAACAAACGCAAAGGTAATTCGTGTCACACGTAGACCGTGGGCTCTTTTCTTTATTTATGGTGTCGCATTTACCTCCTGGTGAAGACTAAGTAAAACTGTATGTGACAAGTGGCACACATGCAAATGACGAGCTCCCACGTACTTGAATCCAAGTGACGTGTGATGTCCCTGCTTGCATATGTTATGTCTCAGACGAACGTTTCTGAAAACTGCTACTCAGAATTCTCGTATTTCAGTTGAAACAAGATCAAAGCACTCTATCTACCATTCCAAAGAAAATGTAGTGTTTTTGAGATTAAGTAAATACGTTCTTCAATAGCTGGATCCTTCTTAATTCTAAGAATGCTTTATTGTAACATGACTATATGTATAGTAAATATATTTTACCTTACTGTGATATTATAAATGTGAAACCTTATTTATTTATAATCTCATGGAGCCTTAACCAATCACCATTTAATTTGGCAAACGCATAGTATTTGTTTGTAAAACTAATTATTCCAGAAATCGTTCCTTAAAGCCTGAAACACATATAACAATTATTATTGCCTTGTTATATAAACTTGTTCAGTCGTAATCTTAGTACTTTATCGGTCATAAAGATTAATTAATTTCATTATGAAAGAGCGAATAAAATTAATAAAAACACTTTATTTTTCCCTTCAAAGAAAATATTATACAGATTGTAAACATAAAAAAAATTGATACACAAGCAAAGTGAATTATTAATTAAATAAACTTCATTACGTATTACTTGTTTTTTTCCGAATTTGGCATGTTGGGTGTGTTTTTCAGTGGTGTTGTTTCATTTTATGTTTCTTTCACTTGTACTAAATGTCCATACAAACTTTATTGGCTAATAAATTATTTAACTGTGTAATTTTCATGTGTTGTTAAAACTGCATGTTTGTCTGAAATAAATAAATACAAGTTACCTTTTATCCCGGTCACATGACAAACAAGTAATTGATCGTAAAAATCGGTCATAAATTGTCATAAACTCATGAAATTAATTTCCCTTTACAAAACAATCGAGTGTCTTTGATTTTTTTAAAGCCACTAGTTACTTTTCAACCAACATCAAAAAAAGGAGATTCTCAATTTAGTTCAATTTTTTTTTTATTATTGTTACCACATAACTCCGTCAGTTCTAAATCGATTTGAAAGATTCTTTTTTATATCTGAAAGGATATACTTACAGATCGGTCCAATAGAAATTTTATCGATTCTGTAGTTTAGTTTGTAAATAAAAATAACTGGTTTCGTCAGAATTGAAGTCAGATTTAAATTTTGAAGTCAAAAGTACAGAGGCATAGCATCTTAGTCCTCTGGAATGGCAACGTATGAAGGGTATCATAAACGATATAGTACATTATGTCCATGATACTATTGATTACCACTTTCCATCAGGTGAGCCGTCAGCTTGTTTGCTATTCTAAGTTGCATAAAAAATTACTGTTACCACTTTTCCTCAGGATTCGTTAGAACGCTACTTTATTTACAATTTCTTGTTTTACAAAGAAGCAAAAACGAAGTGGTATTGAACAAAATAGATATAATTACTCCTAGCATTCGTGCGTTAGTTTACCGAACAAGTTTTGTGTAACATCGACCAAGTGGTAATTGGATTGTGGCTCGATAATTATGTATTAGGTATACCTAGTGAACGGGGAGCCGATCGATAATCACTACAGTACGGGTCCTTTTCCAATTAATTGCCTTTATAAACCAGTCACTCTAGATCACTTTATAAGAGAGTGGTGTTAAAATATTTGCACTAATTGGTTCAATCTAGTCAGATGCAGATAATTTCTAAAATAAATAACGAAGTGTTATATTTGAGTGCAAAAACTGATGTCAGTTTTCAAAAAAATTATATATACATTATCACAGACTTAGTTGTTATTTCATATTAGTAAAATCACAAAATAAATATGCAGGTAAACATGTACGATGTGAACATGTAAAATTCATAAAAACTTCAAAACTCTCATAAACCTATTTTAGCTATTGCACTTTTTTCTCTCTTTCTTTTGTGCTAAATTCTCAGTTTGAATGAAAGTGACAAAACATTTAAAAAAGGTTTTTTTTTCTATAACACAAGAGGTTAACGAGCATGTGGCTCACCTGATGGTGACGCCCATGATCACTCACAACACCAAAGGCATTGCAGGTGTGCTGCCGGCCTTTTAAAAAGGAATATGCTCTTTTCTTATAGGTTACGATGCCGTATCGGTTTGTAAAAGGATTTAGTTTTTATGAATAGGGTTAGAGTTATTTTAAAATATATCAATCATAATTAAGCGAAAAAATCCCCATAAAGAAATTATAACACTACATAGATTACTTCTCAAGATATCAGTTATAATAATTTAAAAAGTATTAAAACAAATGGCTAGGATATTTCATATTTCTTTAATAACCAATCTGACAGGGGGGGAGGGAGTAATGTGGACTACTAGTTCCATTGCTAGCAATATACCCCGCCAGTTTGACCTCCACGTGGTCCCCCCTGATAATTTTCGTGCTGAATTCCAGATGTATTCATCACGATGGGCTAACTGATCCGCCTCTTCATCCTTACCTATCATCCCTCACTTGTGATCCGCCAACGTAAACCGTTAGCGCAGGCAGCGTTACCATTCTATTATCATCCATTAAAAAAACAGTTTCATCACACAATGGAAAAGTCAATATTTACATTATGATTTTTAAATTTATTAAATATATAATAAAAAATAACTATTATAAATAACATTTGAAATATAAAATAAAATTATAAATTTATTACAATGTAATGGTAATTACATGTCAATAATGACGATTACAAGTTTTAAAATTGGAAATGTCAGATTTATTACAATTAAAAATAAATAAATAAAACATATAATAATTTAATATTGATAAATAATCAAAATCTCATCAATAAAAACAGGTACACACTGATGTCCATCATTTTGTTTGCGATTCCAAATTGAAAAAAAAAAATAGCTAATAGATTGTAATAATTCTAATTGACTCATACCCTTATTAGCTTAGAAGTGTGAAAAACGGCGTGGTCGCGCTAACAGATACCGATGATGGGTGTGTGATAATAAACACTGTACACAGACGAACGAAACTATTTCGACTCCCACATACATATAAGAATTATATTTGTACTACAAGATCCTGTAGCTATGTTCGCATTCAAAACAAGTTTATAAACATATAGATAGAGAAACGGTATTATTTAACCTATGTACTTATAAGAGGGAAAGGGATTGTTAGCGGTTGAGATTAGCAGCCTAACAATATACGCCTTACGATGAGCCAACTAGCCTGTTCTCATCCTGACCTATTATTCCTCACTGGTGTCCCATTCCATTAAGAATCACTCGCCGAACGCAAG